ATTTCCGAGCGGGGCGTTGTTTCCAGCTGCCGGCAAACTGGTCCGGGCGAGAGTTTTTTTTGGATCGAGAGCCTGAGGGATGGGATTCTTCCACTGCGTGGCCTTGATGGAGTTACCGTGGCTGTTGCTGCAGAGTAACGGGGCGTTTAGCACACGGTGTAACTTGTCTGTGGGGTCTGTTGCCCCTTCCCCAGCTCGCTCTGGACGTGCGCGGTGCTGGAAGCCCCAGAGACCTCCCGTCCCTGCATGGCTGAGGGCTCTGGCCGCAGTGGTTTTCCTCTGCGAGGTGGAGCCCAACCTGCTTCCCAGTCCTCCTCCAAAACCAAAGGATGTTTCGAGGGTTTTCCGAAGGATTCATTTGGAGTCCTGTCCTCGCTACAAAGTCCTTCCTTGCCATCCTTCGCCGCATCGCGCTCCCGGATCTAGCATCTAGCTCGGGCCTCTTGCTTTCGAAGGCTGGTTTTGCAACATAGCTATGGCGTGCTCTCTAATCTTCTTAGCTGGTTGTGTGTTTGTGGGGGTTGAGGGCATTGGAGACAGACAATGAAAGCTAATTTAGTTCTTGATTATCGCCCTGAATGACAATCGTAACTAATCTTGATAGGGAAGAAAATCTCACTAGCGTTTGCTCTGTTTGCAGGGAAGCTCGCTCGAAAATAATTGAACAGATAAAGAAGGGATTTGTTCTCAATATTATTGAACTGTGTGTGGCGGAAACCTGGTCCAATCTAGGTGTGATTGTGAAGTAGGGGGGAACCGTACCCCGCCAGAGCAGGGAGGTGGTCTCCATCACTTGTTCCTGCATCCAAAAAAACGTCGGAAACGGTCGCAGCACCGTCTGCTTGGAGGGCAGGTGCCGTGCCCCTCGATACGGGTCTTGATGGAATAACCCCCACTGGAGACGGCTTCTTCCAAACCCTCAGGGGGTTGTACCTGGTGCGCGGGGGGTAAGGAGATTAAACTCTCTATCTCTTCTTGGTCTAAAGTCTAATTTTTGTGTATCGACTTGGGACGGAAAAAGCTGGTTCTGCTTTCGCAAAGCCCGGAACGGTCTGTAAAAAGGAGGCGGCAGCTGCGTGCCCTGCCGGTAGATGTCTTTTCTCCTCCCACCTCTCAAACACACCGACTTCTCAGTAGCGTTCCTGAATCCACCCCAACCTTTCCGGGCTCCATCCCTGCGCTGGTTTTCAGAGCATTTTACTGCAGGTCAGCATCTCTTCCCCTCTTGTGAAGAGAGGGGGCTGCTCCAGCAGGAGGGGGAGTGGGTTCGCCCAGTTAAGGCTGTAGGTTAGAACTGGGAATAATTTGGGTCTCCTGATTGCGCCTTTCAGCCCGTGCTCGGTGTGCTCAATAGGGCTGGCGTTGGCTGTTGGAGTGAAAAACTGCAAATGTGTCTTTTCTTTCTTGAGAGATAACAGCAGTGGGTAAATGAAGGACCCTCGTGTGCTGGGTTTTCCATTAAGCGTACAATTAGATGAATGCAAGAGCCTTTTTATCTACCCCGGTTTAACACTTCTGCAGTATATTTAAACAGAACTCTACGTGTGCCTGGGACTGGGTGTGATGACTGAAGCTGGAGAAGTTTAAACCCATTTCCGCCGCCTGTGCTCTCTGCTCCTGCTTTGTCTGTCTCAAGATAACGAAGCAGATGGGTCAGTCCCCGTCGGCTCGCTGGAAATGGCTCCTGACGGGGGAGAGCGGCTGGGGGTGTGCTGGAGGTTGGTGCCCGGCGTGTTGCGGTGGCTTTTCTGTGCCCATCGTTTCTCTTCCTTGTTCGCCAGTCTGAACAGAGGGGAAGCAGCGATGGACAAAGTATAAGGCGGGGGAGAGATTCCTTTTACTGGGATTCAAACCTGTGCTTGCAAAATGTGAGCTGCAGCCGAAAACGTCATTGAGAGGCCTCGCGGACACCCGTACTCCAGGCTGCTCTTGGACTGGGATGCTGTTTCGAAGAGCTGGAGGGCGAGATGCTGCCGGGCGCTTCGCTGACATCTCTGGAGGAACATCTTGTGACGGTGGTTTTCAGCGTGTGGTCTGCAGAGTCCTCGGGGGCACATTGATGTTGCTCGAAGCTCTGCGAAAGAGCACAACTGGGAAACCAAAGCTGCTGTCACGGGCTTGAACTTGGTCGTCAGCAGCTTGAACGGAGCCGGAGGAGAATCTGGGTCTCCAAGAGGAACAGATAAGAATCACTGCTTTGATGTTGGTCAGAAAGGTTATGCTCACGGGTCCAGCTCTGTGCTGGCAGCGGGGCTTGCGGTCCAGCAGCCCCGTCTGTCTCTGGTCTTCTCGGGGGGGTTTGCTGCTGGTTCAGGGAAGGGAAAACCAAGGAGGCCGTGACCTAGATTGTGCCTCCTCTTGCTGGTGCAGCCGCTGAGCGCAATTAACCGCTCCCGAGTTTCCAGAGTGGATTTGATACAGGTTTGGTTTCGCGAATGTCCAAAATGTTATTCCTTTTTCAGCGAGACTAATAGCTTTCCACCTATTGAGTCAGTACTTGTTTGCTTTTCAGCAGTATTTAGTTTTTAACCTTCTGAAATGTTAACATCCTTTGTCTTCTTCCAGGGTGTTTCAGAAGTGTTAATTTGTGAGGAATCGTTGCTCTCATGATTGGAGTGGGTGAATGGCAGTCGCACTGTTTGCCAGAGCAAAGCGTGTCAATATGCACAGGCACGTTAAAACTTCCTTAAAATGTTGTAAGAGGCTTCTGTGAGAATGGTAATTATCCCAGCCGCCTTCTGGTCTCTCCCGCCTAAGAGAAATAGGTAAAGTCACTGGAACTGCACTTGTTAGTGTCTTCCTGTGGTTTTTTTTTTTTATCTGTTTGAAATAATATTGGACAGAGTCTGGATTTCTTAACTGTAAAAGAGGAAGGCTGGTTTCCCTTTTTTTGGGTGATTAGGAATGGGGAAACACTACTTCGGCCTCGGCGGAGCAGCCCTGGGATGGTTCGGTCTGAGGAAGGTTCGTGCCGATGGCCGTCTGGCGTTGGGGGCTGAGCGGTTTGGGGGGAAACCGTTTAGCCTGAATGGTCTCGGGTGTATCGTGCCGCTGCGAAACGCAACGTTCCTCTGCGATAAGCTGCTGTGGACTGGTCAGGCGAATGCCTCGCTCTCCCAAGGAGTGGTGGAAGGAGCCGGCGCTGTCGCAGCGGCTGCCCCTTGGCAAACGCACCCCATAAGGTGTTTTCAGTGACGTCGCGTGGAGCTGTTTTGGTGTTTAGCTGGGTTTGAGAAGGAGGAGGGATGAAGGCCATGACGCGCCTGTCTGTGCAGCTGCTGGGGCGAGCCCGGAGGAGCTGTCCCACACCGCCGTGTCCAGTAAGCTCATTAGCTGTTCATCTCCAGAGCCTCTCCCGAGGAGGCTGCTGATCCCTGTGGTGAGCGCCCTTCTTCCTGGATCTCATCTTCAGCCCTCTTCTTCCTTCATCAGCCCTTCTCAGAGCAGAGAGTAATCTGTCACCACTGCTGTTGTCTCCGCACTCAACTTAAAATCTCTCCCACAGGTGAATATTGGTGAGAAGCACTGTGTTACAGAAGAAACAGGAGCTTCTTGGTGACGTATGGAATTTTATGGGCTTACCGTACAGCCCTGGACAGAGCTGGAGCCAGATGTGTTTTGAGCCACGTGTCAGGAGCTGGAAGATGCAAAGCGCTTGGTTTTGCCACGCTGGGACGGGAGAGCGGTGCGACGCCGGCGCGATACAGCTGTGCTTGTTCTACGCTCCGCAGTCAAGGCGAGACCAGCTGGGCTCTGAGCCGGGCTTTGCCCTGGTGGCCCGGCTGATAGCGCGGGATGGCTAAAAGTGCTTCGTCTGCTCAAATGCAAAGCCTTAAGGATAACTTGATTCGTTTCTGGGGTGGTTTTCCTTGGGTGGTTTGTTGGCTGGGCGAGCGCTTTGCCTGAACAAAGCACGAAGGCAGGCCGTGGTCTTCGTCTCCAGGAAGCTTATCGCAGACTTTCTTGCAGTAAATTTCCTTGTCATCTCTTGACAGACAGATAGCTGGGAAATTTTAAGAAATCTTTGCAGAAAATGAGTCATTCGGTGTACAAATGGGAGAAGTGAAATGTTCTTCTCCGTGTCTTGGGGATCTTGCTCGTTAGTGTCAGCGTGACGGGGGATTTTGCTCGCATGCTTCATCCTCGGGGTCTCCTGGTGTTTGCCAGCGGTTCCTCTTCTTGCTGAGAACACTTGCCGACAGGCGTTCACAGGTTCAAATGCAGCTGGCGAGGGAGATGTTTTCTGCACCGCGCTGGGGGGGAGGGCAGGTTTGGGGGAGCGAGTGGGGTGCTTCAGCAGCTCATCCTCCTTACGCCCAGGGTACCGTGCCAGCCCGCAGCCGCTGCTCACCGTCTTTGGCCTAATGCTTTGGAAACTCAGTCTTGAAGAGGCTTTTAAATTCATTACTATGAACAAACACCGGTCTGCTCTGCCCCCCCAGCATGTATTTTTTTTGCAGCAGGAGCTTGCCGAACCGCAGGCTCGAAGATCTTTTGTGAAGCATAACCCGTGGTGATTCCCAGAGCTTGGCTTCCCCCGTAGCGCCGGGGGCGCGCCGACGGGCGAGCGCCAAGGCCAGCAGCGCCCGGTCTCGCCCCACGCGTGCCGGGGCTTCTGCCCATGCAGGGGCGGCAGCGGGCAGCACAGCCCGGGGTCACAGTCCGGAGTCTCAGCCCCGGCCTGTCTCGGCAGGCGTCTCCGGCATCGCGCTGGACTGTGGACTGCGGCACAGGCGTGTGTTCCCTCTGCCGCGGGGCGACGATCGCCGTCAGAGACGTGGAAATGAGTGTTTTGGGATTATGTTGTCTTCAGCTCAGCCAACGTGAGACTTTAGTTGTGGCGAGTGTCAAGCGAGGCTGACCCTTACCAGCACCGGGAGGAAAACAGCTTCTTCCCCGCTCCTGCGGGATGGCGAGAGCGTTTGCAGCCCTGTTCAGGCGGGAATGGCTCCGCGTTGCCCTGTCCGACAGCCCACTGAGCAGCTCCAGCATCACTTCTACCCACCGACTTCAGAGCTTTCCCTGCGGTAACCTTCTTGCGAGGCAAAGAGGAAGGCAGGTGTCGAGGGAAGGAGACTCGCCAACCGTCCTGCAGCAGCCGGTGACAGAACCTCGTGCCCCTGGTTTAACCACATCCACGTTTGGTGGCAGACAGCCGAGAGAAGCGATTTGTTGGAGGAAGTTGCTCTTTGAGTGCTCTTGGAGTCGTGGTCTCCATCCCGCGGCGGTTTGCTGTGCCATGAGCAGAGTTCTCCCCGGTTTCCCTTCCCGCGCAGAAGAGAGCAGTGTGTGGTCTGCGGTACCTCCTCGGTGGAGGGAAGGATTCGTCGGGTCTGGTCGTCATCTGCTTGCTGCGAGGAATGGAGGGACCCAGCCCTGCAGTCAGCTCAGCAGCCCTCTCCTGGGACCTTGCGCATCCCCTGGGAGGGTGAAGGTAACTCCCGCATCTTTTTTCCCGACTCCAAATGGAGGCAGAAGCTTGAGCAGCGAAGTACCCGTGCGTCCCGTTGTCTCAGGAAAAGTGCATTCGGCTCCCGCATCCCGCAGGTCCGTGGCCGTGTAAACAGCACCTCGTTCAGCTGTGCTCCTCTCGCCTCGCCAGCTGCTGCTGGGGTGCCTGTCTCGGGTGATTTACCGTTCCCTTTCTCCGTGGATGATGATTCCAGGCTGAGTTGCTATGGTGACTTTATTGCAAAGGTGCGAGTCCCCCGGCCCCGCGCGCCTGCGGTACCGACTGCTGTCCTCGCTGCGCGGCGGAGGGGCGAGCGGGGCTGCTGCTGTTCGAGCAGCGTCTGATCTGAGAAAGCAGCCTGCTGGGAGCGACGGAGAGACGGCAGTGGGTGTTACCGGGTTTTTTTTGTGAATGAAGTGATGCATTGCAGTCTTATTGTCGGGAGTCCCAGGTCCTCCCAGTGCGTGCCCTCCCCGCCTCCAAGGGTTCGGTGTCAGCTCGGCGGGGACATGGGTAGCAGCAAAAGTCACTGGGGGCCGAGGAGGATGCGGGAGAGGAAGAGGAGGAAGCCGGCAGCGTGCTTGTTCTTTGTCAGCCAGCAGAAGGGAAGACGCAGTGGCTGAGGTCTTTGGTGGGAAGTTAAGCTGAGGACCTCGTTCCAGCCTGGCTGGGGCTGCGTAACTAAAAACCAGCCTTGACTTTTGCAGACTAAGCAGCGCGTCCTGCGGTCTGGGTCGTCCAAACACCCCCGTTCCCAGCCGGAGGGGGCTCTGGATGGAGATGGGCTCGAGGTTGAGCGTGGGATGGCGGCTAAACTCCCCTGCCTTTGTCCTTCTCCCTCCAGGGCAGGACCGGGACACGCTGGAGGAGAGTCGTTTTGGCCTGCTGTCCCTCCTGCTGTGGGCAACCAGCAGCCTTCTCCGCACGGCTGGAATCCGGCTCTTCATCCCCGTCCACCAAAAATCGTACTTGGGCAGCGGCACCATCGGCCGTTGTGGGCTGGCTTTATTCGAGGCGGGTGGAAGGGGTCTGGGGTAAGCGAGCAGCACGTGAGCATCGGTCAGCTGGAACGACGGCAAATGTCGCTGTAGTGTGACGATGTTGGTGGCTAATGGCTCGGTAACGCGGACTGCCCTCTGCCACCCCGTTTGCTGCTTTGGAGGCCGCGTTCCTGCCCTGCGGAAGAGCTGGTCGGTGGGAAGGGGGTTTTCCCCTCGTCCTGAACTTAACGTCCTCCTTGGTGCAGGAGCTGCGCGCAGCTCTTGGAGCACTCGTATCGCACAGAGCCTGCCGGCCGGGGTTGCTTCGTTACCCCTTCCCTGACCGGGTATGGGAGCTCCGAGAGGGCTCATACGAGCAGGCAGTGTCCGAGCGGAGGGAATTGTTCTTGTCCAACCCCTGGCAAGGCACAGGCGCTGTCTCGGGCTCGCAAGCACCGCTTGGGGCTTTGTAAACTTGGTTCAGAGCCTGGGATCTCTCACCCAGATTTGTAAGTCGAGATCAGATCGTTCCAGCGTGATTCTTCTAAGTAAAAGTTCAATTAAAAAATGATCGATGTGAAGCGGCAAGAGCTATTCTCTTTCATTTGAGAGCTGGAGATTGAAAGCTCAATCCTGCGTTTGATTTAAGGCACGCTGGGATGGTTCTGTGACCAGCGCTACGTCTTCAGCGCTGAGATGATGGCGGTCTGTTCCCAGGCTCCAGGAGGGAGTAGCTGATTGCCAGAGGGAGTATTTGAGAGCCCTTTCTGTCCCTGCGTGGTCAGGATCTGTGGCCGGGAGAGTGCAGGCTGCTTTCCTCTCACACTCCTCTGAAGCATCGGGTCACGGCCGTCGCTGGCAGTGCAGAATAAGGCAGCGCTGGGCGCTCTGGTGGAGAGTTTCCCAGGTGTGAGTGAAGAGGAATTGGGGTTGTGGCGTGGTTGCCGGTGTTGCTTCAGCAGCGGTGAGAGTCTCCTCGGCTGGTTCGTTCCAGGCTCGTCCCAAGCTGCTGCTCGGGAAGCAGAGGTGAAAGGGAGCCATCGTCTCCGATGACCCACGGGCTCTCCGTCAGCCGTGCGAGAGCGTGGCCAGGCTGGCTGGCGGGGATGCGGTGGGTGAAGCTCTGCCTGTTCCTGTTTATACAGGGAATGTTTTGGATACCAAACTTTTCAGAGACGCTTGTGATGACAGCAAGTTTATGGAGACTCGCTACTAAGTTTAGCTCTTATCAGGAAGAAAACCAGGCTTGTCTTTTTCCAGATTTGGAAGAGAACCTAACAGCTCGCTCTGCTTTGAAATCAAGGCATAGGTCCAGCATCTCTCCAGGCTGGCCAAGGTATGGTCCGTGTCTTCTGGGCAAGGAGGAGCCAAGCGATGGCTGACTGAGCTGGCAGGGAGAGTAGGAATGTCAGGAATGCTCTAGGGGTGGCTTGGGTCTTCAGGGCTTCCATGGGGCTCCTGGAGGGCTTTTGGGGCGTAATTGTGAAGAGCTCTTGTGATGAGGTTGGAGCAATTTAGGAAGCAGAAGCGCGTTACTCGCTGTAGCGGTGCTCCTGGGCCATCTGGGGCAAAGCAAAGCAGTTTGCCTAGAAGCAACGGAAGCAAACCTGCGTCTCTGTGGTGCATCGAAGCCCGTGTGCTCGTGGGTGCTGTGTCTCGGAGGAGGGGAGCACCGCCTCTGAAATCACTTGCCGCTGCTCTCCGAGCCTCCTTGCCTCCTTTCTCCTTCTCATTCACCTGGACGCTTCCGTTCGTGTTGCGGGAAATCCACTTCTGGTTTGGTGCTGTAGAGGATCGGGAGATAGGCTTTGCCCTACCAGAGTAGTATCTGTTATGCGTTCAGTGTTTTCTTCCCCAATTCTGTGGTCTCCCTGCATGTGCCTTCAGCTGCCGGCAAGAGCCTGGCTTGCTGGGAACGAACGTGCCGTGTCGTACCGTTGAGAAATGGTAAAAACTGCAAAACTTGCGTTAAATATTCAAGGGGGTGCAGGAGCCTTGAAGAAGTTTTAGTTGTGTCTGAAGTCATTAAACATAATCCGATGATTAATGACCTGAGTAACTATCAATAGGGAAAAATTAGGGAAGTTTAGACCAGAGTGAAGCTGGAGCGGCCAGAGCAGATGAGGCTGGAGGGGTTTTGAAGGGAAGCGGGTGTGTGATGGGTCTCTGGGCTGGCCCCAGCCTGCTTTGAAGGCTCTGCGGTCGCCTCTGCCTTGCTCATGGCTTTTCTGCTTTCCCTTTCGCAGGAATGGGGTGAATGTTGAAGGAGCGACGCACAAGCAAGTGGTGGACCTGATTCGCGCAGGGGAGAAGGAGTTAATTCTGACGGTGCTGTCGGTGCCTCCCCACGAGGCGGATAATCTCGACCCGAGCGATGACTCTTTGGGGCAGTCATTCTATGACTACACAGAAAAACAGGCTGTGCCCATCTCCATCCCCACGTACAAGCACGTGGAGCAAAACGGCGAGAAGTTTGTGGTTAGTATCAGCTCGGACAGTGTTTTCTGGAGATAGGACGCGTCTGCACCCTGAGCTGGTGCGCTCCTTGCTGTTAGTGACGATGGGTGGCAACGCTCTTCTTGTCTTCAGGATGGAGGCACGTTAATTTGTTATTGACTGGTTTTGACACTGTCTTATTTAGGCTTGCCCATCCTCACTCTTGCTGTGCCCGGTTATTCTCTTACGGCTGTTTCCTATGTGCCGACAAACCTTTTTGTTAACGTGTCTGGAGCAGCTTGGTCTCTTGTGAAGATTAAATAGGAAGTTATTTTGTTCGTATAAGCTTTTGTATTTGTACCTCCTGTTTTACACCAAGTGTTGAGGACATCTGTGGTAGATGTAGAAGCAAAGGGAACAGATGTCTCGAAGCATAACTTCCCATCTACAGGATTTCTTTCCCCTTCCATCTCCCTTTTCCCTTTAGGGGGTGTCGGGGGAAATAGCTGTAGGAAGTCTCTTTCCTTTGGGTTCCCTGCCTCTTCTGTCGCGTTGACTGGGGAGGAAGGCAGTCGTTTTCCCGGGTAGTGTGATCCATCATCCACGTACCCGACAGGGATGCGGCCTCTGAGGCTTAAGGTTGATTCTGGCTCATCGGGGATGGCTGTGGCTGGTAAGGAAATGTTTGGAGAAGGACCCAAAACAGGTTGGACAAAGACACTCGTCTGCAGAATTCTTGCACCGTTTGGGGTGTATTTAACCTCCTCCGCCGGCCGGGCCCTGCTTAGCTCTTCTGCCTCACTGCCTGGCTGGGGGGGGGTCAGAGTCTGCAAGCGGAGCGTCTGTCTCCATCGCCCCGTCCTCCAGCGCCTCGCCGCTGGCCGCTGCTCTGAGCCTGCCTGGGGTCTGAGCTGTG